CGCGGGCGCCCGGGGCTACTGCCCCATTTCCCAGAATCTTGTACTTCCTCGGGAAGGTTTCGGGCAAGTCTCCTCGCTTCTAAATCAACCTGTTTCATCTGTAGAGTGAGAAAAAGTAGCTCCTACCTCCAGTGTCAAGCGCCCCAGCCTCCGGCTTGGCGTGGATGAGACAATGAACAAATAGGAAATTGCCAGTCTGGATCGGGCGCCCGGGGCTACTGCCCCATTTCCCAGAATCTTGTACTTCCTCGGGAAGGTTTCGGGCAAGTCTCCTCGCTTCTAAATCAACCTGTTTCATCTGTAGAGTGAGAAAAAGTAGCTCCTACCTCCAGTGTCAAGCGCCCCAGCCTCCGGCTTGGCGTGGATGAGACAATGAACAAATAGGAAATTGCCAGTCTGGATGGGGTGATGTGTCCGATCTCCAGATAGGCTATTTTTTTGTTTGCTGGTTTTTTGAGACAGGGTCTCACTATGTAGTTGAGACTGACCTGGAACTCTCTATGTAGCCCAGGCTGGTCTCGAACTCATAGCGATCCTCCTGCCTCAGCCTTCTGAGTGCTGGGATTACAGGATTGCGCCACCACGCCCCTGGCTAGATAGGCTATTGATAAACACTATTGTCATTTTAATGGTGGCTTTGTATTATACTAATACTTTGTATTCTAAGGAAGGTGTCCTTCCTCAGGGTGGATCTTGCCCAGCGTCGCGGGCAGCAGGGTGGGAAGGCAGATGGGCATCCAGCACGTCTCTGTGATTAGAAAAGGTACCTTGTGGGCAGACTGAGCAGGAAAAGGGCCCGGGTGAGCTGATCAACTAGGAAAAGGTGCCTCTTCCTTCGTCCAGGGTTGATTTAACTGCCCCCGCAATTCAGCTACCACTGACCACGCCCCTGCTGGCGCGCAGACTTCACGACTTTTCAACAAATTTCTGTAGGTCCCTGAATCCTAAGTGGTTGGTAGTGGGCTGGACATGGTGGCGCACGCCTGTGATCCCAGCACTCAGGAGGCAGAGGCAGGAAGATCGTCGCAATTTCAAGGGCAGACTGAACTACAGAGCAAGACCCTGTCTCAAAAAACAAAACCAACCAAAAAAAGTGGTAGCAAACTGGGTGTAGTGACACAGGTTTATAATCCCAGCACTCTGGGAGGCTGAGGCAGGAATATTCTGAGTATGAACCCAGTGTAGCAGTTTAGCCACTTAGATCCTGTACCTAAATTAAAAAAAAAAAAAAAAGCCTGGCAATGTGTGCAGTCTCAGAATTCAGTCGCCAGCGACTGGGTGCGGAGAAGGTGGATGATTATAAATCGGTATTCTAGCCCACGTGAACTGGGCACCACGCAGTCTCTGTGCTCAACTCTCTGCATCTGTCTTGCTCCTTAATCCCTACGAACCTCTCAGGGAGGTGACGGGGTGGTTACAGAAAGGCCTCTGGTGGTGATCTACAAAGTCTGAACCCTTAGGAGTAATTTTGAACATTCTGCCACTTCTTGGCCCTGCTGGTGGTGGAGAGCCAGGGTCCATGGTACTTTTATTAGGAAAACAGATTAAGGAGCTTTACGGTTGGGAAAAGCACGTGGCCAGAGGGGTGTGCTGGGGACTTTTGTTGGGGGGAGTATAGGGAATGGGGTAGAAAAGGAAGACTGACACCCGGAGTTCAGTTTGTCTCCCAGCAGTGGGAGCCACTGAAGGTTCTGAAGGAGACACCTCCCTCAGCTGGGTCTTGGGATGTTCTCTGTGACGAGATGGCAGGAAAGCTACTTACGAGTCATTTCAGAGGTCCAGGCTAGAGAAGACAAAGGTCCAAACAGGAGCAGGTGGAGATGAGGGATCGGATGTTAAGAAACAAGATGGCCTGCGGCTAGCTACACAGATGGGTAGCTGCGAAAAGGCTCTGCTTCTCCTCTGGGGTCACCGTAGTAATGGACGGTTGGTCCAGCGTGGGGTCAAGAGGTCCTGTCCTCAGCCCGCCCCGCTTGTATCCACACTCCTTACTCAGTGCTTACCCATTCTCTCCGCTTTCCCTGATCAGGGGCTGGAACTGGGGTGTGAGGGCGTGCCCAGAACCCTAGAACTGGATCTGTCTCTAGGGCCTCTGTTGGCTCACAGTGGGCGGAGCCAGAGCCTCGCTGCCTGTAGGGCTCCTCGCCCAGGAATAGATAGCTGTCTTTGCCACAGCCTTTTGAAACACTCACAATCAGAGGTGGGCATCAAAGGGGAGTAGAGGGTGGCTTTGGCCCCTAACAGACTGGGTTCAGATCCCAGCTCTACCATACAAATTTAAAAGTCGTGTGTCCTTCAGCAAAAGCCATTTAGCAGGGACAATTCAGTTCAGAGGCCACTGCTGAGGGCTATTCCTGCTCACCGCACCATAAACAAGCTCCTCGTCTTTCCCTACGATCTCGTGCCCCTGGCAGGCACGTCTGAGCCTATGAGCCATGCTGTGACTTTTAGGGCTCCCTAAAACACTACTAGAAGGTGTCCCCAGCCCCAAACTGTCCAGCAACCCTTTGCCATCCTTAGGGTGCGTGCTCCCTCCTCAGGGTTATCATGGGTTTTGTGGGACTTTCACCAAAACTTGGATTGTCATAAAAGCAATGCCAGCATAAAAGCACACTGAACATCGATCCCACAGAGTAATCTCAGAGCAGTCCTCAGTGAGAGCAGAACCAGCAGTTAGCCCCAGCAGCACCCAAAACATAACACATGCCTTCTGCACTCGAGGCCACCTTGGAGATCCCTGGAGAGGGCCGAAAATGCACAGACAATGAGCACAAACTCAGGGTGGACGGGTCTTTATGTAAAAAAGATGAAGCATCAGAAAAGAATGAGCTAGGGCCGGGAATTTAGCTCAATGGTTCCACTGCCTGCCTCACAAGCATAAGGTCCTGAGTCCAACCCCTGATACCCCAAAAAAGAGAATGAGCCATCTTTATTGGCAAGCTCAAGCATAATTCTCTGCCATTCATAAAAGTCATACCTAGAGACCAAGATGAAGCCCAAGAAAGTACACTTTGGGTCATAGTAAACTTTCATTGTTATAGTTACAGTATAAATAGTTCATTACTTCTAACGAGCATATCACAGATGCAATATTCATATTAATTGAGCAATAAAGATAGTCTGAAAGAAAAATTATCCAATAAGGTAACCCACAGTGTAATGGTTTGGGTGTAGACGTCCCCGCAAAGCCTCATTTGGTCAGTGGTGGCTGAATCTGGAATGTGGAGGCTGGGATTAAGGGCCTGTGATTACTAAACCACCCCGCATCAGTAGATGGTTTGGCCCCATCCCAATCCCCGCAGTCTGGAGGCAGAAAGCCACTGTTAAGGTCTCTTGTTGCCTTTGCTACCTTGTGCACGCCGTGCTGCTCCTGCTCAGCCCCGCGTGCTGGCCATCCCTGTCTACGCACTGAAGCCTCTGTGAACTCTAAGCCAAATAAACCCGTTCATTCCCCTCTTACTTCGGGCGCCAGGTATTTTGTCTCAGGAAGGAGAGAAAAGTAACTAACACGCAGGTAGTACTTTAATGAGAATATCTGTAACAACAGCTTACATCTTTACAGAGAAAGGGAATAGGCCCTCTCGAGCTCTGAGCATATGTCAGTTAGAATGTATCTGGCTGGTCCAATATTAGAATGGCTCAACTTTATAAACTAAACTCATTCACTTAATAAGTTTTAAGGTAGGGAGCTACAGATTGGCTCCTTTCTTTCTGTATTCCCTTTTTCTTTCTTTTTTTCTTCCATGGAACTATGAGTTAAACATAGGACCTTTGCACTGAATTATTTCCCCAGATCCCCAAACCCTTTTGGAGATAGAGTCTTGCTAAGTTGCCCAGGTTAGGCTCAAACTTGAGATCCTCCTGCCTCGGCCTCTAAGAATCCTGGAATTACAGGTATGTACCACCAAAACCACGGGCCCAGTGTTTTGATGAGGTTGTCGATGGCCCTGGACATTCCTTTCTTTCCTCTCTGCCAACTCTGAGAGAGCTTAATCTCTCCCGTGTGAGCCACTGTGTTAGGCGGTCTTTGTTACACAGAGCATGGTCACCTGGTGGGCCTGACTACCAGAGGCAGACAGCAGAGCCAGGTGTTCTGGCCCCTGGATCCCTCTCTCCCTCCAACCCCATGCTCCTTGTGTGCCAGCTTCATAGCTGCCCACAGCAGAAGGGCTTTCTCCACGTGCTGGGAGCCTGGCTCCTGATCTGTGTCCCTGAACTCAACCATCTGACTGGGAAAAAAGAACCTGCCCTTCTGGCT